ACTGCAAACCAAGGGGACTCCGATGCTTACCTAGAGATTCAAGAATAGAAAGATTACCATCTCAAGCCAACAAGAACCCAAATGGGAAACTGCAGGGCAACATTTCCAAATCATAAGGAAGCAGAGATAATGCAGGCAAGAAATAAGTAGTGCTATTTGGGTTATCTGGATATTGATTCTAGAAAAAACTTAATACCAGCAGTTGTAAATCCTAATTCAATTATCCTTGACTATTAGTCTCAAATATGGCTTCTTCTTATAATGTTCAAAAATTCTAAGTATGTGTAAAATAAGAGTTGGGTAATCATTTATTTATTCTGCTTTATTCTGTGGTATTTTTTCAATTTCCCATAATAGCTTACTAGTATTCCCTGGTGGTCTCCCACCAGTCACTTAACCAGGTCCAATCCTGTTTACCTTACATGCCTAGATAAGGTCAGCTAGATGCTATTTTGCTTAAGAGCTCCATTAATGGTACTATCAACAATAATACTTCTGCAGTGTCTTTTATGTGACAAAATGGATGAAAATTCCTAGGTTACATTTTGAGTTTCATTGGCTTAAAAGAGGAAAAGATCTGAGATAGAACTTCTGGGTTTCATCTCAAATCAACATAAAGAATTGTATATTGGATTAAAGTTAGGAAATAGCCAAAGAAACAACTTGTGAGAGCTTATGACACTTTGGATGGCAGAGTGTTGTTTCTGACCATCAACAGGATGTACATGAACAGACAACAATTGAAGTTGTGAATAGGGGAATGACAGGAATTTTAGGCAGGGGTACTTGAAAAAAACTTTGAAATGTGAAGCCGGTCACAGCCTTAGAATGGCCCTGTGTTGAATGTTTCAGCACAACAGATGATGGACAGCTCCACTGCTTTAAAAAATGATGATTTTTGGCCTGATTTTTGCTTTATCTCTGGTTGGGGAACATCAGTGCTTCAGTTAATAATAGATAAATAATAGTTATTTAACTAGTGAATGTTTAAGGTGGGGGATTGTTTCTCCTTATTTTACTTCACGTGGCCATTATAAAGCGAATGGATTAAGGTAGCAAGAACCTGAAGAACAGGGGTCGGTTTATTGGAGGCCGGTGCTTGGGCCGGTGTGAGCAACTCCAGGATTACAATTAATCTACTAATCTATTCTTTGGATTACAAAACTTGATTACAATTTAAATACAATAATGTCAGAACCAAATACCAAGATGAAGAAAATAACGTCATATGCGTCTGCAACAGCCACCCCATCCAGTTCAATGGCACAGAAAGGAGCAGGCACAGGAACACAACAAGACAAAGCTATTTCGGAGCTAAAAAGTATGTTCCAAGACATACATGCGGATATCAAGGAGCATATAAACAGAGTAGAAGAGAAAGTGGGCAAAGTGGAAGATGAATTGAAAGAAGTCAAGGAAATGATGGGGAGAATGAGCAGAGATTGCAGAAGGTGGAAGAAAAGGCAGAGATAACAGAGAAAAAAAGTGGAGGAGATGGATTATAGGCTGACACTAACTGATAAAAAGCAAGATGGAGCCAGTGTTTTGTGGGAGATGGAAAGATCCAAATTCTATCTAAGACTCCAGAACATAGAAGAGGAGAAAGGAGATAATTTAGCAGAGAAGATCGCAGAAATTATCTCAGCGGCTACAGAAATGAGTAAGGAATATATCCTAGGCAGAATGGATGAGACATTTAGAGTATATACAAGATATGCAATGAGTGCTACGCAAGGAGGAGACCGATTTAACACAAACTAAGAACTATAGACCAATTTCTTTATTAAATTCAGATTATTAGCTATTTGCATCTATACTAGCAGAGAGACTTAAAAAATATTTAAATAGCTTCATCCACTCAGACCAAAATGGCTTTTTACCTAAGAGGCAAATTAAAGACAATATGAGAATGATTTTGAATACTTTGGAATACTATGAGGCTCACCCCGAAAAAACAAATGGCTTTGATGTTTCTTGATGCACAGAA